TGGGAGTTTGGGACCAGCCTGACCAACATAGTGAGACCCTATCTCTAATAAAAATACAAAAGAGTTAGCCAGGTGTGGTAGCACATGCCTGTAATCCTAGCTACTAGAGTGGGTGAGGCAGGAGAATCACTGAACGTGGGAGGCGGAGGTTGCAATGAGCTGAGATAGTGGCCACTGCACTCCAGCCTGGGTAACAGAGTGAGACTGTCTCAAAAAAAAAGAAAAAAAAAAGAAAAAAATCATCTGAACCGAACCAAGAGTCTGTAGCCTCAAAGGGTATTTGACTGTAAACCAATCCTCCACTGAAGCCTTCAGAATCCCAAAGTGTGCTCTTAATAAATGGTCCAGAGCATGTCTGATCAGTTCCTCTGATGCTCAAGTTCTCTGCCCATTGTTGCCTTTTTTCCTTCTTTTTTTAAGTTCTGGAAAAAAAAATTAGAGACTCTGGGTCAGAGCCCCCTACCCGACAGAGAACTCTAACCTTGATCACTCCTTGATTACGAGTGACAGAGAAATCATCATCTCGCAAGACCACATATTGCATTTTTTAGACAGATCTGACAACTTAGATTTAAACTTTTTAAAACACACATGTGTGTGTGCACACACAATCAAAAAATCCTTGTTTGGGCTGAAATATGCTGCAATTTTTGTTCACTAATTCTAGGCCTGCCCTATGTGGCCTCCCATAATTAGTTTAGTCAATTCAGTAATCGAGTCTCAGGTGCTGAGGCACTTAAGGCAGACTTTCTGAACTCCACATTCTTCCTGTGGGGATCCTGGGATCTACTGAGTCAGGGATGTGACATTTGCCAAAGAACATTCCACTGGACACTAATCCCCTGAAAGGCCTTATGAAAACAGAACCTGAGCTCAGATAAGTTGGGGAAATGCTATATTGCTCTTCTGGTCTTTATCACATCTCATTCTCCAGAAATCTTTACGAAAACAGAGCTCTGAGCTCAAGTAAGCTGGGGAGATGTTACGTGTTCTCTGGTCTGTATCACATCTCACACTAGCACAGAGAAGACTCTTGAGGTCCTAAAGCATTGAAAACCCTGTTTCACTCTGTCAGTGTTTTTGTTTTTTGTTTTTTTTTGAGACAGAGTCTCGCTCTGTTGCCCAGGCTGTAGTGCAGTGGCCAGATCTCAGCTCACTGCAAGCTCCGCCTCCCGGGTTTACGCCATTCTCCTGCCTCAGCTTCCCGAGTAGCTGGGACTACAGGCGCCCACCACCTCACCCGGCTAGTTTTTTGTATTTTTTTTAAGTAGAGATGGGGTTTCACTGTGTTAGCCAGGATGGTCTCGATCTGCTGACCTCGTGATCCACCCGTCTTGGCCGCCCAGAGTGCTGGGATTACAGGCTTGAGACACCGCGCCCGGCCTTCTGTCAGTGTTTTTAAGACCAGTCTGACTTAGAATCCTTTTTTCCAAAGAGGAGAATTTCTATGAATTTTTCTCAGAATGAATGTCCTCCAGTACAGGACATAGGCCAGTTAGCTGTAAGCATCCTCTAAAACTGCACTGTCTAATCTAATAGCTGCTAGCACCCAGGACTACTGAGCACTTGAAATGTGGCTGGTTCAAACTCAGATGTGCTGTAAGTGTGAAATATACACTGGATTTCAGATTCTTAGTACAAAAATAAAATGAAATATGAATACTTTTTATATTGATATATGTTGAAATATTGGGTTAAAATTTGTTATTAAAATTAATTTCATCTGTTTACTATTACTTTTAAAAATGTGGCTACTAGAGGCCAGGCACAGTGGCTCACACATGTAATCTCAGCATTTTGGGAGGCTGAGGCCGGTGGATCACCTGAGCTCAGGCATTTGAAACCAGCCTGGGCAACATGATGAAATGCTATTTATACCAAAAATACAAAAAATTAGTCGGGTGTGGTGATGTGCACCTTTGGTCCCAGCTACTCGGAAGCTGAGGTGGGAGAATCACTTGAGCCTGGGAGACAGAGGCTACTAGAAAATTTAATTAATTAATTAATTAATTAATTTTTTTTTTTTTAGACACAGGGTCTCAGCCTGTCATCTAGGCTGGAGTGCAATGGCATGGTCATGGCTTATGGCAGTCTCGACCTCCCAGGCTTGAGCAATCTTCCCACCTCAGCCTCCTGAGTAGCTGGGACTACAAATGCAAGCCACCATGCCTGGCTAATATTTGCGTTTTTGTAAAGACAGGATTTTACCATGATCACTTGAGCCAGGGGTTCAAGTGAGCTCAAGTGATCCACCCATCTCGGACTCCCAAAGTGCTGGGATTACAGGCATGAGCCACCGCACCCAACCCAAAAATTTATAATTACGCATGTGGCATGCATTGTATTTTCATTGGAGAGTGCTGCCCCAGTGTTCTGTGCTGCTGGGGAAGGCTGTTTTGGGCTGTATAGGGGAATGTGAGAGGGAGGGTTTGGGTAACCCAGTGTAGGAAGTATAAGGGAACTGCAGGATTCACTGGAAGGGCAGCTCAGGAAGCCTAAGAGCAGGGTGGTCAGGAAGTGGTGACTAAGCTGAGACCTGAAAGATGAGAAGGAGTTAGCTGGGGGAAGGCAGAGAGAACAGCATGGGTCAAATCCTTGAAGTGAAAGAGGAACTGTATGTATTCCAGGATGTCCAAGGCTTCAGGGGCAGAGGGTAGACAGTGACCCAACCTGACCCCAGAGAGGGCAGCAAGGGCCAAGACTTTTAGGGCCAGGCAAGCCTCTGTAACGGGTTTATCCTGAGGGCAGTGTGAAGCCACGGAAGAGTTTTCAGCTGGTTGAGACTAGACAGATTTGCATTTTAGAAAGATTGCCCCTGACACTTTAAGTGGGGTGTGGATGGATAGAGGGATAAACTGGAGGCAGAGGAGCTTTTACAGAAACTGTTGAAGTCATCTAACAGGGAGATGATGAAAGCTTGGACCATGCTACATGCCTTTGAATTGAAGAAAGCCAATGTCTAGGAAATAGACTTGGAGTGGGGACCACTGATCCCAGGCTATTTGCAGATGAAAATAAGGGAGAGGGTGGAGTCAACATTAATATCTGGGGTTCTGAGTAGTAAGGCTATGATGGGAGACCAGAAATCTATGGGAGGGGAAGAGGATGAGTTCAAGGTGACTTTGAGAAGCATGTGGGGTTACAAGTGGTGACATCTGAGACAAAGTAGATAGCCAGGTTTAGAGGTTGGAAGACAGTCATGGGCTGGAGATAGAGTTGGGCAGGAAATGTCTCACCTATGAGCCTTAGGTTCCTTATCTGCAAGATGGGGATGTAATCTACTTTCCAGAGTTAGTGTGATGATTAGATTATGTAACATTGATGGCAGCAGTGGCCTGTCTAGAGTGGTCACTGCCATGATGCAGTCTGCAGTAGGGGAGGCACTCCACAGAGCCAGCAGGAGTCGGGAACAGGCAGGAGCCCTGCTGTCTTCTGAGTTGACAGGGAGGGAGCTTCATGCTCCACGGGCGCAGCTGCAGCTGCCCAAACCAGGGGTGCAGACCCAGGCATCTCCGCACTCTTGGGGGCCCAGGAAGGCCCCCCTGCCCCTGCAGGCTCAGAAATGCCTGCTTCCACTGCCTGGCTTCTCCCTGCTCCCAGCGCCTGCTTCAATCTCAGAGCAAAGTTGAGGCTGATCCCAGGTGCAGTTGCATGCTTGGGGCAGCACTGACACACCAGCCCCCTGACACCTTGGCCCACTTCAGACTTTGGGCACCAACTAACATGGGAGGGAGGCCAAGGAAGGGCTGAGGGCAGCTCAGCACTGGCCTGCAGGTGCCCCTCTGCCTGAACAACCTGGGTGCCATGAACAGTGGCAGGAGGCAGATAGGCTCTGGGCAAAAAGGGGTGGATCCCTGGTGAAGCCCCATCTTCAATCCTGGGAAGGCCTGAAGCCTGGAGGCCAGGCTGCCAGTCCTGCAGATTGGAGTAGGAACTTATGGTGCCTTTTCTGGGCCTGCCTATGGCCACCCATGGACCAATCAGCATGCACTTCCTCCCCTCTGAAGCCCATAAGAACCCTGGACTCAGCCAGACTCAGAGAGATGTCGGGACAACCAGCTGCAGAAAGGAGCTACCCCTCCAGAGTCTCCTTTCTGCTGGGAGCTGAGCAGACATCAAGATGACCAGCTGTGGAGAGGAGCTACCCACTCCAGGGTCTTGTAGCTCCTCTCTGCTGAGAGCTTAACATTAAAGCTGAACATTAGTGGGACACCCTGGCAGCAGAGAGGAGCTACCCACTGTGAGTCTCCTCTGAGCTGCTCTATTGCTCAATATGGCTCTTCAGCTTGCTCACCCTCCACTTGTCTGCATACCTCATTCTTCCCCGGAATGGGACAAGAACTCAGGACCTCCTGAATGGTGGGGCTGAAAGAGCTGTAATGCAAACAGGGCTGAAACACACCTCTCGCTCACCACATTGTGGGTAACAAGAAGGGGAGAAGACTGAGGCCCTTTGGGGACCCCAGACCTAGGAGCTCCCTGAGCCAGGGCTATGACACCCTCTTTGGGGGTCTGTGGTTCCTGACATCTCCAAGCCCCCAGGAACCACTGCATTCCCCAGAGGCAGCAGTGGAAACTGCTTGCAGGATGCCTGGTCCAACTGCAGCCTCGTAGGGAGCCAGCACTCATGCTGGCACCTGGAGCTGCCCACTCCACCACAGTCATTGTTCCTGGCTGTGCACAGTGGCTGGACCCCATGCTTGCTTGCTCACACACGCCCTCGCTGCTCCACTCGCCCTTGGCAGGCATGGGATCCAGGCCATTAGCACGAGCTGAGCACAGCCTGCCAGGCCAAGTGGGCACAGTGGGCCTGAGCAAAACTCTGGCAAAGGCACCACTGGCCACAGAGGTTTCCGGCTGGTGAAATGACAGCCCGAGGATCCCGTAACAACATGTTGGATGTGCCTGGCATTGCACAGACGCACAGTAGGTGTGTGGGAAGCATTGGTTCTTTATTTCAGAGGGTCTATCATCCTCGTTTCCTGCATGGCCAAACCCACCAAGATTTTTGCAGCTACTGCTTCCTTCTCTAGTACTCATGGGACCCACATCTGTGCTTACAAAGTCCCCACTGTAGAGATGGGGAGATGTTTCTGGAAGCAATAGTGGGAAAGGGTGAGTGAAGGCAGCTCCCCCTGCCTGGGTAGTCCTAGAATAGGAAGGGGGTGAGCAGTCAATACATGCAGTGGAGAGGACTCTGACCTGGGAGGAAGGAAGATAAGCTACTTGCCCCAACCCTGCCACCAGCACAATCAATAAACCTTGCTCTGTGCTAAGCCTCAGTTTCTCCATTTCTTCAAGGAAGGGTCTTCCAGCTGAGCCCTTCCCTGTTTCTGTCCCTATCTCCTTCTCTCTTCCAGAAAATCTCTTGCCTTCTCTTGACTCACAGAAGACATCACTTCCTTGAAGACTTGGCTCACTATAAGCCTCCTGGCAGCTCCTTCCTGGGGCACTGGGCCAAACTCCTGACAAGATTAAGAAGAGATTTTGAATCTGGGCCAGACTAGGAAAACAGGAAAGATGATGAACAAAACTTCCCTCCTTCTGAGGGTTGTTTATTCCATTGTTCCGTCAGCTGAGTTTTCTGGGTACACAGCAGCCTCTGGCCCAGCACTTAGTGCACCCTTGGTCTATCACACAGACTTGCTCCAGTGTCCACTTGTCCAACTGCCCCAAACTCCTGGAAACCAGAAAGAACGCAGATGTGTCTCAACTGAGTGCCTACCGTATTTCCATAGGAGGAACTGTCTTCACATAAAAGCCCCTCTGCAGCTCCTTAAGGTAAGCAGTGTTCTTTCCATTTTGCAGCCATGAAAACTGAGGCTCAGGGAGGCTCCCCAAGGTCACCCAGCATGTCAGTGTTGGATCCAGAAATCGAGGGGGTTGGAAGGGAGGACATCTTATCAGTTAAAACAATATTCTTTGGAGGCTGATGAACTTTTCTGAGTTTGAATTTTGACTCTGCCACTTACTGCCTATGGAATCTGGACAAGTTCCTAGTGGGAAGCAGTTTTGGGTCACAGTGGGGATCACAGACTCTGGAATCAAATGTCAGTTCCACCATCTGCTAGTTATGTGACCTTGGGCAAGTTCCTTTGCCTCTCTGCACTTCAGTTTCCACAGCTGTCAAACAGGATAATAATAGTGCCTGCCTCATCAACTTGTCGTGTGGATTAAACGTGATAATCCTTGTGGGACATTTAGCACAGTGTCTGGTCCATGGTCCAGTGCCATCCATGTCAGCTATGGTTTGAATGCAGGCCGCACTGACTCGGGCTACCACCTGTTTCCCTGCTTATCACCTGTCACCCTGGTGGCTCACTCAGCACTTGGCGTGTTGTAGGTGCTCCTGGGCTTACCAACTGAAGGAGTGATTGGGAATTGACTCAGTGTTTCTGAAAGCAGGCTTCTGACAATGTGTGGGAGAAGGATTCCGGAGGAAGATGATTTTCAGGAGTTTCCAAACCAATCAGCAAGTAATTGTTTTTTGCACGCTAGTATGAACTTAGACCAGTTTCAGATTGGTTCTCTGAATGTTACCTATGCAATCAGAAGCATACCTACACTCACACCTGTAGAAGCAATCTATACTGATTGTGGACTGTTCCAATGCTACATAAAGACCTAAAGCAGAGAGTTAAAGTTCTAAGTAAACTTGCTTCAAAAGAGTTGCCCACTGTTTATCTGAGGCATGTCCTTCCAGAATTTTCCTAAGCCTTGTACCTTTTTTTTTTTTTTTTTTCTTTTTGAGACATTGCCCAGGCTGGAGTGTAGTGGCGCAATCTCGGCTCACTGCAAGCTCTGCCTCCCGGGTTCACGCCATTCTCCTGCCTCAGTCTCCTGAGTAGCTAGGACTACAGGCGCCTACCACCACGCCCGGCTAATTTTTTGTATTTTTAGTAGAGACGGGGTTTCACCGTATTAGCCAGGATGGTCTCGATCTCCTGACCTCGTGATCCACCCGCCCCGGCCTCCCAAAGTGCTGGGATTACAGGCATGAGCCACCGTGCCCAGCCTACTTTTCTTTCTTTTTTGAGACAGGGTCTCACTCTGTCACCCAGGCTGGAGTGCAGTGGCATGTGATCTTGGCTCACTGCAACCTCTGCTTTCTGGGCTCAAGCAATCCTAGCACCTCAGCCTCCTGAGTAGCTGGGACCACAGGTGCACGCCACTATACCTGGCTTTTTTTTTTTTTTTTGGTAGAGGCAGAGTTTTGCCATGTTGCCCAGGGTGATGTTGAACTGCTGGGCCTAAGTGATCTGCCCGCCTCGACCTCCCAAAGTGCTGGGATTACAGGCGTGAGCCACCATACCCGGCCTCTATGCCTATGCCTCATTTTTAAGTGTCACTGTGTACCCTAGTTGGTGTTAGACACTGCAGATCCCTGAAGAAGTAGAGATTACTGTCTGTACCTTAGGGACAGGCACAGTTGGGGCGGGACCCAGAATTCACGGAACACTTAATCAGCAATTAAAACATCCACAGTACCAGTGACTCACTCGCTCAATACGTACTTAACATCTGTGGTTCAGAGACCCGGAAATGACAAATCAAGGTCCTACTTGGCTTCAGAGTGAGCCCCAAGATTGAATCAGCAAGGAAACCCTTTGGTATATTTGCCCCCTGTTTATGGGCCTGTCAACCAAGCCTCAGTGGGAGGGCAGGACGGGTAATGTGTCCTCGCTGCCCAGAAAATTGCACTTTCCTGCCTCATTTATTGTATGTAGGGAAGTGAACTGAGGAGCCCAACAGGCTGGGCTTGCCACAGGTGGCTTCTGGGACCTTGGGTGACTCACTCCCTTCTCTGAGCATCAGGTTTCTCATTTGAAGCATGGGGAGGATCCTCCTGCCTTGAAAGGCACATTTTTCATTCATTCATTCATTTGTAAAAGATGGTATTTCATGAGTGTGGAGGGATGACTCAATAAACATAGCCATCTAGGGGGAAAAAAGAATTGGGTCATTTGGTAGATTGTATTACTGTTCAGCAAATATTTACTTTCCCCAGCCCCCACCACTATGGGAGGAATATACTTCCTCACCCTGTTGATATTGCACTTGGCCATGTGACTTGCTTTGGCCATGAGAATATGTGTGGAAGTCACAGAGGCCAGGCCCAAGGCACAAAGTGTTTCCATTCACCCCTTTGAGCAACCGTCCTCGGTCATGAGAACCACAAGTCCCAGACAGTGGAAGCTCCTTCAGCCTGGACTCCAAATGAGAAGATGTACAAGACAGTCACCTACTCACCCCACAGCCTGGAGCCCAGCCCAGCCAGCCCCAGAAAGCCCAGCAGAGCCCCAGCTTGACCCACAGATCCCTGGGCGAGAAGTGAATGTTTACTGTTGTAAGCACCAGGCTTCTGGAAGTTGTCTTTTATGCATCATTATCACAGCAAAATCTGACCAATGTGGATCCCTGGCTCACTCCTTATATTGAGTTTAGCTTGGGTCTTGAGTGAGGATTTTCCTTTTCATTATTATCATTATTATTATTTTTGATACAGAGTCTCACTCTGTCGCCCAAGCTGAAATGCAATGGTGTGATCTCAGCTCAGTGCAACCTCTGACTCCCTGGTTCAAGCAATCCTCCTGCCTCAGCCTCCCAAGTAGCTGGGATCACAGGCGCCTGCCACCACACCTGGCTAATTTTTGTATTTTTAGTAGAGATGGGGTTTCACCATGTTTGCCAAGCTGGTCTAGAACTCCTGGCCTCAGGTGATCCACCCACCTCAGCCTCCCAAAGTGCTGGGATTACAGGTGTGAGCCACTGTGCCTGGCCAAGCAAGGATTTTCTCATTAGATGATATCTGACCTGAGATCTGCATGTTTAGGGGGAGCTAGTCACGTGACCATCTAGGGGAGAAATGTGCCAGGCAACAGGAATAGCAATGCCGTGGTCCTGAGGCTGGAGGAAACTTGGCCTGTTCAGGAAAAGAAAGAAGGCCAGTGTGAAAGAAGTAAGGGTTGTTTGGTAACTGAGAGGGAGAGAGTCTGAGCTCTAGACTCATATGTTCAATACGGCACTACAGGCTGGGCATGGTGGCTCACACCTGTAATTATTTTATTTTTAATTGACACATAATGATTGTATTTATGGGGTACAATGTGATGTTTCAATACATATATACACTATGATGATCAAATCAAGGTAATTAGAAAATCCATCACCTCAAACATTTATCGCTTCTTTGTGGTGAGAACATTTCAAATCCTCTTTTCTGCTATTTTGAGATGTACGTTATTCTTAACTATAGTCACCCTATTGTGCAATAGAACACCAGAACTTATTTCTTCTACCTAACTGTAACGTGGTACCTATTGGCCAACCTCTCCTCCTCTTCCCTCTGCCAACCCCTCCCTAGCCTCTAGTAACCACTATTTTACCCTCTACTTCTATGAGACTTAAAACCAAAAAAATTTTTTTTTGTTTTGTTTTGAGACAGGGTCTTTGTCACCCAGACTGGAGTGCAGTGGTGCGATTACAGCTCACTGCAGCCTTGAACTCCTGGTTCAAATGATCCTCCTGCTTCAGCCTCCTGAGTAGCTGAGAACCTCAGGAATGTACCATCCCACCTAGAATTTTTTTTTTTTTTTGAGTCAGAGTCTTGCTCTGTTGCCCAGGCTGGAGTGCAATGGCGCAATCTCAGCTTACTGCAACCTCCACCTCCCGGGTTCAAGCAACTCTCCTGCCTTAGCCTTCTAAGTAGCTGGGATTACAGGTGCCTGCCACCACGCCTGGCTAATTTTTTTTTTTATATTTATAGTAGAGATGGGGTTTCACCATATTGGTCAGGCTGGTCCCGAACTCCTGACCTCGTGATCCCCGCACCTCAGACTCCCAAAGTGCTGGAATTACAGGTGTGAGCCACCGCGCCTGGTCCACCCAGAAAAAATTTTAACTTTCTTTGTAGAGATGGAGTCTTGGTATGTTGCTCAGGCTGGTCTTGAACTCCTGGACTCAAGCAATCCTCCTTTCTTGGCCTCCCAAAGTGTTGGGATTACAGGCTTGAGCCACTGTGCCAAGTGGAGATCATTTTTTTTAGGTTCCACAGATAAGTAAGAACATACAGTTTGTTTTTCTGTGTCTGGCTTATTTTATGTAACATAAAGTCACCAGATTCATCCAGGTAGTTGCAAATGAACAGGATTTAGTTCTTTTTTGTGGCTGAATAGTATTCCATCGTTTACATGCACTGCATTGTCTTCATCCATTTGTTCGTTGATGGACACTTAGATTGATTCCATACACTGGCTGTTGTGAATAATGCTGCAATAAATATGGGAGCACAGATACCTCTTTGACATGCTGATTTCCTTTCCTTTCCTTTCCTTTATTTTATTTTATTTTCGAGACAGAGTCTCACTTTGTTGTCCAGGCTGGAGTGCAGCGGTGCCATCTCGGCTCACTGCAACCTCCGCCTCCCAGGTTCAAACAATTCTCCTGCCTTGGCCTTCCAAGCAGCTGGGACTACAGGCACGTGCCACCACACCCAGCTAATTTTTTGTATTTTTAATAGAGACAAGGTTTTACCATGTTGGCCAGGCTGGTCTCAAACTCCTGGCCTCAAGATCCGCCTGTCACAGCCTCCCAAAGTGCTGGGATTACAGGCATAAGTCACTGGGCCCAGCCTATTTCTTTTAGATGTATACCTAGTAGTTGGATTCCTGGATCATATGGTAGTTCCATTTTTAATTTTGGGGGGAACTTCCATACTGTTTTCTATGATGGCTGTACTAATTTACAGTCCCACAAAAAGTGTGTAAGGGTTCCCTTTTGTC